CTACTGACCAAAGGTTCCAAGTGCGAGTTTTTTCAGGACAGGCTGGGCACGTTATTTCGGAGGCTGGAGTCGAAATTGACCCGAAGAAGTTGGACACAGTGAAAGCCTGGCACCCCCCGACGAATATCACGAAACTACAGAGTTTATTGGGGTTCGTCAATTACGTGCGTCGGTTCGTCGCCGTCATGGCACGGTTAACAGCGCCGTTGACGGACTTGTTACGGAAGGGGGTCGTTTCTACGTGGGGGGAGAAAGAGCATGCTGCCTTCTCTGCCCTGAAAAATTTTCTCTGTTCACCGCCCGTACTGCGCATCGCCGACCCACTCCGCCCATTCGAAGTCGTTACAGATGCCAGCGACATCGCCATTGGAGCCGTACTGCTACAGGACATTGGCAACGGCCTATAGCCCATCGCATACGAATCACGAAAACTGCATCCGCCCGAGAAAAACTACCCGATACACGACCGCGAAATGCTCGCGATCGTGCATGCATTCAAAGTGCGGCGCTGTTACTTGATCGGCGCAGACGTGACAGTACGGACAGACCATAAATCACTACGGTACCTCCGCGCACAGCCCCACCTCAACCCACGACAGATTCGCTGGCTCGATTTTCTCGAGTCCAATTTTCACTACACGCTCACCTACAAAAAGGGAGCCTCGAACATCGCCGACGCACTGACCCGCCCCACTGCCCAGATCCATGCAATACTACTCGCCCAGACCAGCCCACTACTGACAGGCCTATTTACCCACGGGTACCAAACGGATCCATTCTTTACAGGACGAAGTTCGCAGCAGTTCGCAGCAGCAAGGGGAGTCTATTACGTAAAAACCGGGACCGACCGCATCTGGGTGCCCGGGTATACACTGCTACGGGAATTACTGTTACAGGAAGCACACGACGGAGTTACCTCGGGGCACTTCAGGGTAGAGAAAACACGGCATCAGCTGCAGGGGTATTATTACTGGCCCGAACTGTTGACCGACGTACAGCAACACGTGGCATCGTATCCCACTTGCCAGCTCATGAAATCATCACGAAAGCGGCCGGCAGTACAGTTGCAGCCAATACCACCCCCAGAGCGTGCTTGGCAGCAGGTGACGATGGACTTCGTCACGGGGTTACCGGCCGGGGCGAGTCGGAACGTCGCGATCCTGTTCGTCGTCGATCGACTGACGAAAATGGCACAATTCGCAGCCTGCAAAAAATCGATCACAGCCGAAGAAACAGCTGGACTCTTCATCTCCACCGTCGTTCGACTGCACGAGATACCATCAGCGATCATCAGCGACCACGACACGAGATTCACCAGCAACTTCTTGCGGAACCTGTGGCAGCAGTTCGGCACGCGACTACAGTTCAGTTCTTCGTACCACCCCGAAACCGACGGACAGACAGAACAGACAAATCAGACCATGGAGCAACTCATCCGAGCCACTTGCGACGACCCAACCATCTGGGAACAACAGCTGCCACTCATTGAGTTCGCATACAACAACTCGCCATCCGCCACGACCCAACAGTCACCGTTTTACCTGAACTACGGATGAGACCCGACAGTACCCATGACCCTGAATCCCGACAACCCGGTGCTACGCGCACAGCAGTTCGCCGAAAGCAAGCAGCACGGACCAGAGCAGCCGACGCAAATAAAAATGCCAACGTCATCGCTAAACGCAACGCCGATCGCCACCGCCGACCTGTCACTTACCAGCCTGACGACCTAGTTTTACTCGACACTCACAACATCCGCCTGCCCATCACCCCAAAACTCCGCCCCCGATATTGCGGGCCATTTCGCATAAGCCACATGATTACGCCCGTCACCGCCCACCTCCTCCTCCCTGCTGACTGGTACGTCAGCCCCTCATTCCACGTCAACCTGCTTCGCCCTTACGTCCCATCCACCAGCCAACTGCCTCGCAACCGCCCATCCAGCATGACACGACCGCCGACCGAGCCAATCATCACGCCCGAGAAAATTCTGAGCCACCGAGTCCGTGACCCACGAAGAGCTTGCAGGATCGAATTTCTGATCCGCTGGAAAGACCGTACGCCCACAGAGGACAACTGGGTCCCCCTGGATAAAATTGAGAATCACCCTGCCCTCACCGAGTATCTACGCAGCTCAAACTTCCGGGATGTACACGCGCTCTCGTAAGAAGGTCCTCCTTAGGGGGGGGGGGGGTAGTGTAAGGAAAATCCCTTTTCCTTACTTCGCGTCCCTACTCAGCGCGTACACCACTGTTCCCGCCAACAGCAGCACCCAACAGTAATCCGTTACCATTCGCGACACTCGCATCGACACTGTTCCCGCCACTATTCACGACGCGACCCAACCTCACGGTTCGGTTGGTAACCCGCGCTCCGGACCTCCGCCTCGGCAATTCCCAACCTCGGCGCCAGGCCCGTCGCGCACCCCATTTTCACACATTACCGTTACCACTATAGTTGCGCTATATATTCTTCGCTCATGCCTTCGCTCATTGTACTTTTGCTTCGATAGTGCAATTCTCGCTCGCTCACTCAATTGCTCTCGTATCAGTAATACCACCATGACAATCTGTCATGGATAATGTATCAATAAGGTCATTCGTTTTCAGCTGTTTCAAAGGCTTCTAGACTATCCTGTCCTTCCATGATTTTCCAGCCGTTGACAAAATCATGTATTATAGAGAACTGATTTTGATCAAGTTTTGGAAATATACAAACTGACTTTCGGATTTTGATCGAGTTTTATATTCCTTGTACTGCATGTTTTTATTATCTCAAGCATTTACATTCACTCTGCTATTGAGGTCAAGGGCCCACCACCACCAAATCAGCAGTGTGCGAACCTTCCTGAGGTGATCCTGAGAACGATCGAATTCTGATCGCAGCAATAAGGCCATTCGTTTTCAGCTGTTTCAAAGGCTTCTAGACTGTCCTGTCCTTCCATGATTTTCCAGCCGTTGACAAAATCATGTATTATAGAAAACTGATTTTGATCAAGTTTTGGAAGTATACAAACTGACTTTCGAGGAATGGCATATCGAACCAGCTAGGCGAAAATCGAGGGCAGGAACTGCCTCGGGAGTATGGCGAAGGTTATGGGGGTGTCTCGAGAGTGGTTTGGGTCCGATTAGTCAGGCCGAACCTGCTCTGGCGAGAAGTTCGGAAACCAGCAGAAACGCGCGCGAAGTCGATTTACCGAAATAAACCGAGGTAAGTAAGATTCGAACCCACATTTTTCGGCACACCTTGCCGCAGCAGCGCGCGCAGCGTGTGCCCTCCTGTCTGCTCGACTCCCTCCCCGACGACCCCAAGGCTTCCCTCTCTGCCTCCCCTCGACTCTCCACTCATGACCTTCACACCTGCCTGCCCACTAGGAGTACAAATCAGCAGCTCGCACTCCAATTTCTCTCATCACACCAGCCTCAAGCTCCACTTGTTACCAACATCGGTAGCTCTCAGCCTTCCGTTCCCGTTTTCAGTCAGCCTCAGAATGGCCTCAGTGTCCGGCTCGAAGAATCCCGCCTATTCGGCAGCGCTGAGCTTCTGGAAGAGTCTCGACAGGGAGAGTTCAAGGGCATCACAGCGCGTACAGCCGGTGAGCGAGTCGTCGAGCAGCGGAACGAGCGACGCCTGCCGTTCTTCCGCCGTGACGACCTGCTGCAGCGCCTCTGACGCGACCACCTGCTGCGACAGCACCAACGATGACCATCGCGCTCACGCCGCCGCGGAATGAAACCACGCGTGCGCTCGCCACGACACAGCGTCGGAACCTGCTGTGTTGGAATCCGCAGCGTCGGAACCTTCAGGGTCGGAATGCGCAGCAACAGAATCTGATGCGACGGAATCCGCTGCGACAGAATCTGCTGCGACGGGATCTGCTGCGACGGAATCTGCTGCGACGGAATCTGTTGCGACTAAATGTGCTTCGACTCAATCTGCTGCGACTCAATCTGCTGCGACAGAATCAGCAGCGTCGGAATCAGCAGCGTCGGAGTCAGCAGCGTCGGAATCACGTGCGTTGGTCGCGTGCGTGTCGAGCCCGTCAGGTGGTCGCACCAAGGCTGCGGAAACGAGATCAGTAGCACCACCGTCGCGCATCCCCAAACCAAGCAACAATGGAGCGCCTAGGCGGCGCGTGGAGGGAGCGAGTCTGATTCCGCGGCCGAAATGCGTTGTTCCACAGAGGGAGGTGAGGGCAGTGCTCTCAGGATCGTAAGCACCTTAGTCGGCAATAGTCTACTTGCGCCTATCGTGTTCTACACGATCTCCCGAATCCAATGATATGCGCAGCTCTGCTTGAAGTTCTCAATACACACTTCAGCAATTTTCAGAATCTGATTGGTATCAATGTTGTATTTCCAGGATGAGTACAAACAGGTTTATAGTCAAGCAAGACACAAAATGCGATTCGTAACTTCACTTGTTTCCCAAGTAACCGCGTGCGCCTCGTTTCACCCCTAGTCGCACACGCAACCGAACCGAATTCGGTGAACACTCCTCAAGACCGAATCCCGAACTTTCTCGAACGCGCCTTGGTCTCGAAGCACATTTTTCCCCTCGTCAATCTCATTCTCGATGCTTCTCCTTCTCTCTCCCTCCTTCTAGCACATTTCTTCTCGATTTCTCTCCCGCTTCTCACGCCGTAGCCTCTATTCCCCACCGTAGGCCGATTTCCACCGTTTCACACACGCGCTTCCATTTCGCCGTCATTCCGCCGTCGTAGGTGCTTTCGCCTTAGGTTCCGTGGTTGGGCGAACCAACCCTAACAATCTCCCCTGTGGTTCGTCAACCACGAACACCACTCGCACTGCTCCCCTGCTCCTTGTAGCCTTCACAGGGTCTAAGTCGGCTTCACGCTCCCCTGCAGCTCCTGCACCTTGAACCTCTGCTTACGTGTCTTGTAGTTGAGTGCCTTGACATCCAAACCTTGAGAGATTTTCTTATGCCTCTCGCTTCTCCTCGGCATCTTTACACCCAACACCTCTCGGGTCTCGTACCCTTCAACGCACGCGTTCATCCTCCTTAAGCACTTGCCCCTTTGCAGTTGCATTCGCCTTTGATCCTTTCACCATGATGTCCCCTTTCACAGCTTCAACTCCCACATACTTCGCATTTACTGCTTCATCTTCAACCACGATCGCTGCTGCAAAAGTGTTGACATCGTCTCCATCTCCACCGTTTACTGCTGCTGCATCCGTGATCACTATCTCCTCTTCTTGTTTCACTGCTGCCTCCACACTCGCAGCCATATCATCCGAGTCCTCGCTCTTATCAACCTTAGTCAATAACTCCTCCAGTTCTCCCATCTCACCATACTCAAGATCCTCATAGATCTCATCCATATCATTCGTCGCGACCAAGTTCATCTCATAGAACCCGTCACTGAAGTAACCATCAGCATACTTCTCCCACTCAGGACCAAACACAGTCACCTCACCACTGTCATAGAATATCTTGCACCCCAAGTCATCAAGCTGTGACTGACTGACCAAGTTCACCTTCAAATCCGCAACCAGCAACACACTCTCCAGTTTCACTACTCCATACGGACTCTGCAGCACCACGTCACCCTCTCCTGTCACTGGTAACTTTCCACTGTTACCTTGCAGTATATAATCCTCACTCGACTCCCTCACATTCTCCATCCAATCTGACCTGAATGTCATGTGACGCGTGCATCCGCTGTCCATGAACCATGTCTTCTTCTCACGTCCGTCCGTCTGCCGAACCTCCATTGGTAAACGCACCACGTTCGCAAGATGTGCTCCCCCCAAAATCGGATCCTCTTCTTCCTTCTCCGCTTCCGCCACGTTAGCCTTGGCCTCCACGTTCTGCTGCTGCTCCTGCTTCAACGGTCCTTTGTAGTTACGGCCGTTGGGATTCAAGTAGCAATCAATTGCACGATGCCCAATTTTCTTGCAGTGATGGCACGCACCATTGAACCTTCCGTGTTGCTGTCCACCACTCCATCCCGCACAGTTCCCTTTGTAGTTTCTACTCCTCGGGTTCTCCACACACTCAAACGTACGATGCCCGAGTTGTCCACACTGGTAGCACGCTTCCGAGCTCCTTCCAGCAGCTGCCGCATTCACCAACGCAGGCTTCTCCTCCACAAAGCCCCTTGTAAACTTCTCCCGTCGCTTCTGATGCTCTCTTGCTCGCTCCAACGCCTGAAGCATGGCAATAAGCTTCGTCATATTCTCCGGTGGGTGGCAGATCAACGCCGGCCGCTCACCCGCCCAATCTTCCGGTAGACCGTTGACGATGTGCCCGATCATCGCCCGCTCGGTTTCCGGCTCGCCCATCGCAGTCAAGTCATCATTGTAGCTCCTCGCCATGTTGACATAGTCAATAATCTTCTGGTTCGGCTCCATGGTCATCAGCAGCAACTTCTTCCTCACATCGGCGATATTCGCGTCCATGTGCCCGAGGTATGTAGACTCCATGTACGCCCATGCCGCCTGTGCAGAGTTCTCAAGCTCTGCAAAACCATCAAGACCCACTGCAATTCCGTCTGCAACGGAATGACATAACTGAAAAAACGCATGCTTACTCTCCTCTTCTTGTATTCCGCCTTTTCTTCATCCGATCTCGCCTTACGCGCGGCTGCGTCACCTTCTCCATCCGGTCGGTAGTACTCCCAAAAACCGACTTCCTTCGCCCTCCTTATGAACTTCAATCTCCACGTGCTGTAGTGTTGGCCGTGGAATCGTTGGGCTTCACTGAGCCCCATGGTGGGTTTTGTCACCACCCCTCCTTGCGCTAGCATTTCCAGAAGTGCCTTCACTTGGGGATCTCCAATACTCACAGAGGAGCCCGAACTAGCTTCCGATTGTCCGCCGACCATCTCGAAAGCTTTGCTCTGCACTTAAGAATGCTTAAACGCCACTTGCACCAGCTCTGATACCAGTTCTCAGGATCGTAAGCACCTTAGTCGGCAATAGTCTACTTGCTATCGCCTATCGTGTTCTCCACGATCTCCCGAATCCAATGATATGCGCAGCTCTGCTTGAAGTTGTCAATACACACTTCAGCAATTTTCAGAATCTGATTGGTATCAATGTTGTATTTCCAGAATGAGTACAAACAGGTTTATAGTCAAGCAAGACACAAAATGCGATTCGTAACTTCACTTGTTTCCCAAGTAACCGCGTGCGCCTCGTTTCACCCCTAGTCGCACACGCAACCGAACCGAATTCGGTGAACACTCCTCAAGACCGAATCCCGAACTTTCTCGAACGCGCCTTGGTCTCGAAGCACATTTTTCCCCTCGTCAATCTCATTCTCGATGCTTCTCCTTCTCTCTCCCTCCTTCTAGCACATTTCTTCTCGATTTCTCTCCCGCTTCTCACGCCGTAGCCTCTATTCCCCACCGTAGGCCGATTTCCACCGTTTCACACACGCGCTTCCATTTCGCCGTCATTCCGCCGTCGTAGGTGCTTTCGCCTTAGGTTCCGTGGTTGGGCGAACCAACCCTAACAAGTGCACGCTGAAGCTGCAGTCAAGCCGCCTCGCAGAACGTCCAAGGCCGCGCTGGCTGCCCTCCCACGGCGCCCATGGCGGCCTTGACTGCTGCTTGCATGGAAAATAAAAGGAAAAAAAAAGGGAAAGGAAAAAACGAGAAAAAAAAAATCAAGGAAACAAACAAGTGGTTGGTTAAGAGTACGGTTCCACAGTATGGGAATGGGATGGAAGGCAGGTACGCGCGGGAGGCACAGCAACGCGCAGAGAGCAGCGAGGGGGGAGGGAGTTGTGGAGGTGGGGTGGGTGTGGTGTGGATGGGGTGGAACACTACGGTGGCACTACCTTTTTTTGCGCCCTGCTTCACAGCAGGGTGTTTGTGGGAGTGTGGGTGGGCAGTTGACGGTTGGAGGGGGTGAGGCAAAGCTGTGGTGTGGTGCTGTGCTGAAAAAAGACTCTTGTGTGCTGCTGCTGTGCTTCGTGGACCACTCTGCTCTGCCGTGCTGCTGCTGTGCTCTCAATGCCACAACTCAACAATGGCTCCTGCCGGTCATGCTGCTGTGGGAAGATTAAGGTATAGGAATACAGTAGGACACAAATAGGTGCTGCCATGAAACTAGGCAAGATCACATGCAACGCTGCTGCTGTAGGTGACAAATCCAGTGTACATGCCTAGCTATCTAATATACAATATGAATCGAAGTTTTGTTGCGCATGGCTTGTAGCAATTGGCATGACAAGGGAAGAGGAAGGGTGCTTGGCGATGCATTAGAGGCACACGGCATGAGGTGCATGCAGGCATGGCAGTTGAGGTTTTCCCATGAGGTGCTGGCACGATGGCTCGTGTAGCGACTGGTGAGGGGGATGTGAGCGTGCAGGCGGTGCTCAGGTGCAGCAGCAAGTGACGGGGCACCGCGGCCCAGCTCACGGCGTTGACTGCTGAGAGGGGACACGCCGTGGAGGGGCGAGTGGTGCGCGTGGGAGTGCGAGCGGCGCGGTGGGGAGAGGGCGAGGGGGGGTGGGGGCATGCAGGGTGATGTGGGGAGTGGATGGCGCGGCATGGAGATGGGGCATGGCGAGGAGGGAGGGGGGGGAGTGGGCAAGCGGTAGGAAGGAGGGGCTGAGGAGCAGCACGTGTGGTGGCAGGGCGAGTGGTGGGCCCCGTAGACACCACGCCTGCCTGCCTCCCCGCTCCCGCCCTCCCTGCACGCCGCCTGCACCCCTGCCGCCTGCAGCGCGGCAGCAGGGGGAAGGCAGCGAAGAAAGGCGGGGAAAGGAGGAAGAAGGGAGCGGAGAAAGGAGTGTGAAAGGAGGGGAAAGGATGAGAAGGGCAGAGGAATACCCATTCCTCTCCGCTCCTTTCTGCCGCCGTTGCACATTTCCTCTCTTTTCATCCCACATCATTTTCCCCGCCTTTCCTCATCCCTTTACCTTCTTTTCCCCCTCCTGTTGTCCGCCTCCTTGTCCCCCTCGTTCCCCCCTCCTTTCACTCTCCTTTCCCCTTCCTTTCTCCCTTTCTTTTTCCCACATTTCTCCCTCTTTCCTACCTCCTTTCTCCCCTGCTCGCAACCACGAACTGTGGTTCGTCAACCACGAACACCACTCGCACTGCTCCCCTGCTCCTTGTAGCCTTCACAGGGTCTAAGTCGGCTTCACGCTCCCCTGCAGCTCCTGCACCTTGAACCTCTGCTTACGTGTCTTATAGTTGAGCGCCTTGACATCCAAACCTTGAGAGATTTTCTTATGCCTCTCGCTTCTCCTCGGCATCTTTACACCCAACACCTCTCGGGTCTCGTACCCTTCAACGCGTTCATCCTCCTTAAGCACTTGCCCCTTTGCAGTTGCATTCGCCTTTGATCCTTTCACCATGATGTCCCCTTTCACAGCTTCAACTCCCACACACTTCGCATTTACTGCTTCATCTTCAACCACGATCGCTGCTGCAAATGTGTTGACATCGTCTCCATCTCCACCGTTTACTGCTGCTGCCTCCGTGATCACTATCTCCTCTTCCTGCTTCACTGCTGCCTCCACACTCGCTCCCGTATCATCCGTGTCCTCGCTCTTATCAACCTTAGTCAATAACTCCTCCAGTTCTCCCATCTCACCATACTCAGGATCCTCATAGATCCCATCCGTATCATTCGTCGCGACCAAGTTCATCTTATAGAACCCGTCACTGAAGTAACCATCAGCATACTTCTCCCACTCAGGACCAAACACAATCACCTCACCACTGTCATAGAATATCTTGCTCCCCAAGTCATCAAGCTGTGACTGACTGACCAAGTTCACCTTCAAATCCGCAACCAGCAACACACTCTCCAGTTTCACTACTCCATACGGACTCTGCAGCACCCCGTCACCCTCTCCTGTCACTGGTAACTTTCCACTGTTACCTTGCAGTATATAATCCTCACTCGACTCCCTCACATTCTCCATCCAATCTGACCTGAATGTCATGTGACGCCTGCATCCGCTGTCCATGAACCATGTCGTCTTCTCACGTCCGTCTGTCTGCCGAACCTCCATTGGTAAACGCACCACGTTCGCAAGATGTGCTCCCCCCAAAATCGGATCCTCTTCTTCTTTCTCCGCTTCCGCCACGTTAGCCTTGGCCTCCACGTTCTGCTGCTGCTCCTGCTTCAACGGTCCTTTGTAGTTACGGCCGTTGGGATTCAAGTAGCAATCAATTGCACGATGCCCAATTTTCTTGCAGTGATGGCACGCACCATTGAACCTTCCGTGTTGCTGTCCACCACTCCATCCCGCACCGTTCCCTTTGTAGTTTCTACTCCTCGGGTTCTCCACACACTCAAACGCATGATGCCCGAGTTGTCCACACTGGTAGCACGCTCCCGAGCTCCTTCCAGCAGCTGCCGCATTCACCAACGCAGGCTTCTCCTCCACAAAGCCCCTTGTAAACTTCTCCCGTCGCTTCTGATGCTCTCTTGCTCGCTCCAACGCCTGAAGCATGGCAATAAGCTTCGTCATATTCTCCGGTGGGTGGCAGATCAACGCCGGCCGCTCACCCGCCCAATCTTCCGGTAGACCGTTGACGATGTGCCCGATCATCGCCTGCTCGGTTTCCGGCTCGCCCATCGCAGTCAAGTCATCATTGTAGCTCCTCGCCATGTTGACATAGTCAATAATCTTCTGGTTCGGCTCCATGGTCATCAGCAGCAACTTCTTCCTCACATCGGCGATATTCGCGTCCATGTGCCCGAGGTATGTAGACTCCATGTACGCCCATGCCGCCTGTGCAGAGTTCTCAAGCTCTGCAAAACCATCAAGACCCACTGCAATTCCGTCTGCAACGGAATGACATAACTGAAAAAACGCATGCTTACTCCTCTTCTTGTATTCCGCCTTTTCTTCATCCGATCTCGCCTTACGCGCGGCTGCGTCACCTTCTCCATCTAGTCGGTAGTACTCCCAAAAACCGACTTCCTTCGCCCTCCTTATGAACTTCAATCTCCACGTGCTGTAGTGTTGGCCGTGGAATCGTTGGGCTTCACTGAGCCCCATGGTGGGCTTTGTCACCACCCCTCCTTGCGCTAGCATTTCCAGAAGTGCCTTCACTTGGGGATCTCCAATACTCACAGAGGAGCCCGAACTAGCTTCCGATTGTCCGCCGACCATCTCGAAAGCTTCGCTCTGCACTTAAGAATGCTTAAACGCCACTTAAACCAGCTCTGATACCAGTTCTCAGGATCGTAAGCACCTTAGTCGGCAATAGTCTACTTGCTATTGCCTATCGTGTTCTCCACGATCTCCCGAATCCAATGATATGCGCAGCTCTGCTTGAAGTTGTCAATACACACTTCAGCAATTTTCAGAATCTGATTGGTATCAATGTTGTATTTCCAGAATGAGTACAAACAGGTTTATAGTCAAGCAAGACACAAAATGCGATTCGTAACTTCACTTGTTTCCCAAGTAACCGCGTGCGCCTCGTTTCACCCCTAGTCGCACACGCAAACCGAACCGAATTCGGTGAACACTCCTCAAGACCGAATCCCAAACTTTCTCGAACGCGCCTTGGTCTCGAAGCACATTTTTCCCCTCGTCAATCTCATTCTCGATGCTTCTCCTTCTCTCTCCCTCCTTCTAGCACATTTCTTCTCGATTTCTCTCCCGCTTCTCACGCCGTAGCCTCTATTCCCCACCGTAGGCCGATTTCCACCGTTTCACACACGCGCTTCCATTTCGCCGTCATTCCGCCGTCGTAGGTGCTTTCGCCTTAGGTTCCGTGGTTGGGCGAACCAACCCTAACAAGTGCACGCTGAAGCTGCAGTCAAGCCGCCTCGCAGAACGTCCAAGGCCGCGCTGGCTGCCCTCCCACGGCGCCCATGGCGGCCTTGACTGCTGCTTGCATGGAAAATAAAAGGAAAAAAAAAAGGGAAAGGAAAAAACGAGAAAAAAAAAATCAAGGAAACAAACAAGTGATTGGTTAAGAGTACGGTTCCACAGTATGGGAATGGGATGGAAGGCAGGTACGCGCGGGAGGCACAGCAACGCGCAGAGAGCAGCGAGGGGGGAGGGAGTTGTGGAGGTGGGGTGGGTGTGGTGTGGATGGGATGGAACACTACGGTGGCACTACCTTTTTTTGCGCCCTGCTTCACAGCAGGGTGTTTGTGGGAGTGTGGGTGGGCAGTTGACGGTTGGAGGGGGTAAGGCAAAGCTGTGGTGTGGTGCTGTTCTGAAAAAAGACTCTTGTTGCTGCTGCTGTGCTTCGAGGACCACTCTGCTCTGCCGTGCTGCTGCTGTGCTCTCAATGCCACAACTCAACAATGGCTCCTGCCGGTCATGTTGCTGTGGGAAGATTAAGGTATAGGAATACAGTAGGACACAAATAGGTGCTGCCATGAAACTAGGCAAGATCACATGCAACGCTGCTGGAGGGGGGGGATGAGGATGATACTAACATATTGTGCGACACGCGTTGGACGGGCGGTGTTGGTGCGAGGGGGGAGTTGCGCAGAACGATGGCGGCCCGCGCGAGCGAGTGATGGCGGGCAGACGGGCAGCGCGCGCAACGATACGCGCGGTGGCGAAGCAGGCAGGGGAGGTTGGTAGGAGCGGGGCGGTGATCGGAGATGGGTGTGTTGCGCGCGCGGATGGGCCGGCCGCCTCGCATCACTCCGTACCTCCATCCCGCGCATCCCTCCACCACTCGTGGGGCCCGCCAACGGCGCTGCCGCGTGAACACGCGCATCTCGCCCGCCTCGTCAAGCGCGCAGCTGCCGCTTCAGTGGCGCCCACGCGGCTGCACGCGCGGCTGGCGGAACGGCGGTGGGGTCACGCGGCACGCCAGGCGAGCAGCAGCGCAAGCACCGCACGACGTCGCTGGACCGTGACTGGACGAAGTCGCACGAGCCATCCTGACACCCAGCGACCGTATTCAAGCGCCTTGCTACGCCGCAAGACCACCGCGCGCTCGCCATCCGTCCCAACCACACTCTCGCTCCACTCTATTGTCACTGCGCGACGTCGCTCGCTGCCGCCGGATCACGCGCACCAACCATATCTGCCAACGAAACTGCCGCTCGTCTATCCGAACGTCATTGTTAGTACAGGGTTCACCTATTGCGCGGCGATGGCGCTGCGCCGTGCGGCACTGGCTCTTCTCTCCGCTTTGCCTGCTTTTGAAACACCATGAATCCATCCTCGCTACAAAAGGTCTTCCGAATATTGTTATACAAAGTGCAAGTTATATAAATTCATATAACTTTCATAAAATCCAGAATTCCTTTCACTTCGATAAATGGACTGTCGATGCAGCTGGATGAGTGGATCCAGAAATATTTCCTCACCCAACCATTCTACTAATTAAAGTATCGTGACAACCTCAAGGCCGCCATGGCTGTTCCCAGTGTGTTTAATCGAGCAAATGTCCTACAATTTCTTATCAGTTGGAAATTTAAAACCTAGATTCGTACTCCTTATGACTTAAGGATGTTGGAAAAGGGTGATTTGAGCGTTTCTGTTGTGTCGAAACACTAAGTCGTAAACGAAGCAAAGCACAACGAAGCATCGGCGAGTCAACCATCAGAGGTTGAAGAATAAATGTAACTGCTGGAGGTTACGCGAAAGTCAAAGGTCAGCGAACTTTGACCTGACAAATACAGCGCGACAGCAAGGACAAACAACTGACTCGTTATTGAGCAGTTGCCCGAGTCGACACTGAATCAAACCGCAACAGCAATAGTAAAAAGGTTATTAGCTGTATCTCTTCGTAATCCTTGTACTCTTATAAAACCTTGTATTTCCTTGTTTTAATCAATCTACTTTGCCCTCACATACCAGCGCAAGGTGGTTCAAGGACTTATCATTAAAACGCTTCCGCTATTACAACTTCCTACTCAGAGTTTAGTCCTGCAAAGACCCTAAGGGCTTTTCTCAGCCCAACATGGTATGAAAGCTATCACGGCAACTCAACCACTATCAAGACACCTACAGCATCAGAAGGCATGGCAACACAAAAGGAGAGAAGTTCTTCTTATGGTTCTCCCGGCACCACTCCTACCCCACCTCCTGCCTCTGGCCTACAGACAGAGGAGGGCACGGCAACGAGACCAGCAGCAAGATCTACTGAAACTCCTGCGAATCAACCTGCAGGCTTCGACCCAAGCATGATGGAGAAATTCTTCTCCTTCATGTCCTTCTACGAGCAACACCAGCAAGCAGCACCTGCGCAGTCAAACAACAGCAACAACAACAACGATGTGACACCCATGAGTCTTGACGGCTCATCCTACGCGCGCGGAAATCAGCAGCAGCAGCCTACGTTTGCTCCGTACGCGCCCCAGCGCGGTTCCATCAGCTTCATGCCGCACCAGCAGCCTTCACCTGGACAAGAGAAGACACTGGATGCACTTCAAGTTCAGTCGCAGTTCGCGCACGTCCTAAAACTGCAAACATCAAGGCCATTCGACAGTAAAAATTTCTTTACCTGGTCATTCGAGTTCAAGCTGATTATGGAGGGCGCGCAGATCCTTGGATTCTTCGACGGGTCCCTGCCATACCCAACAGACGGAACACAATACGACAAGCAGCAGTACACATATCAGTCAATGATGGCATACACGATCCTGCTGAGGAACATAACTCCAAACTAGCAGCAGAATGTTCGGTCTTACCAGGGATACGGCAACTCCGCC